AGAGTTAAAAAGAAAGGCGCTGGTATACACTACGTCAGGGGGACATTACGTAAAGAATCCAATACCATAATTACTTCCTGGTAAGAGTATACTAGTTACTTCTGGCCCGACACACCTGGAGCGTACACCACACCTGGAGCGTACACCACACCTGGAGCGTGCACCACACCCGGAGCGTACACCACACCTGGAGCGTACACCACACGTATCTGAGAACTGATATACGAACTTCTCGGTATTATTGCAGTTTCGGTCAATACACGGCCGACTGTTTTAACCATCCCCAACCTTTATATCTCCTTATTTGGAGTATTTCTGACCACATTTCCAAAGAATAATAACGTCAGAAATGAATTTTAAAGTTTTCCATACCTTTTTTAGGGGGGGGGGGGTGATAATTCTAAAACGGGTACTTTCGATTAAATCACACCAAAATACACAGGATTAACTCAATTCTAAACTACTAGGGCATATTGGCCGAACTGCAATTTTACCAACTTCTCTACTGTGACGGGATGGAATATTATGACTGTGTGTATGTGTCTCAGGTCTCTCACAACACAGGTACAGTAGTGTGTTTACTTGTGTGGTATAGAAGAGGTTGATTGACGTCAGTAGTTCATTCCCTTCGTGTCTTGTCATTGGTGATATACAGAGAGAAAAGAGGTTAATCTGGTTCAAACCTCATCCTCTTGTTTCTGTGTAAGATTAGTTTATTAACGTTTTAGTTTTCCTTAATTCATATACACACGAAAGATGTTACAAGACTTACAGCCAACTATATAAAGTTCACGTACGCAATAGAAGAAAATTGTCACAACTTTTATAATTTTTTGCAATACACACACACACACACACACACACACACACACTGAAAAGCCATTATATTTCAACCCAGGTACGTTGACGAAAACATACAATTCAGAGGACCGTATTTAAGGGAGGGAGGCAACTGGGTAGTGGTCCAGAACTCCGCGTCCCAGAGGGCCCCCCCGTAGGTCTAGTGAAAATAATTTTACAAAACTAAAAAATCAGATTTGTTATGAAGAATAATGAAGCAGGATAGTTTAATATTAATAGCTAGCTACTAGCTGGAAGATACACCTCACGACCCTCCGCCCACCTCAACCCATGCTCTCCACCACAACCCATACACCTCACGGCTGCAAGTGCAATTTCAGGGTAAATGATCATTCCACATTTAATTGCAAATGCAGCATTTTCATTACATTTGAATCCAAGCGTACATGAACCCATCAATATTGACCATTAAAACATTTGCTCCTTGTCAGAAACTCAAAAAAACATGAAAAATATATTTAATTAATCTAATTTTTTTGTGGTGGACTTGCGTTAAAGGACAAGTTAAACATCTTACAACAATCCACAACTATAATGGGTCTCAAGTCACAACAGCCTCCGAACTGATAAGAATGTAGAAATCTGTGCTAACGAGACCTCTGTTTTCTTTCTCGTTAAAAAGACATTCGGCGAGTGGCTGATGCTTCCTGGGTGTCATGCCAGGGTGGGTTGTGATCAAGGTTTGTCAGGCCCTCACGTGCCCTGCCCGCCCTCACATGCCCAGCCCGACCTCACGTGCCCTGGCCGACCTCACATACCCTGGCCGACCTCACATGCGCTTCTAAATAAATGTGGGTAGAAATTAATGAATGTGATTATCATGATTAACATTAATGATGTTCTCCCAGCACAAACACGGGAACAACCAATGGAAATCAATACTGGGTTGTGTTCACTGCTGGAGAGACAACTAATGTCAGTCTGTGTTTGTTGTGAAGAGGCGGCGGCGTTGTATCCAATTGTTTGTTTATATTGGACAGTACAAGAAATCTTAACGTACTATTTTGAGCACCACAGAGGGCTAACATCAAGGCTTGCTTCAGTATAACATTTGTTCAGTAGAGAGAAGACCAATAGTGTTTACCTATGGTCCCTGTAAAGAAATAAAAACAACTTACGCTTGACTCCCAGTTGGTGACAAATGACTATATTATGTGAGACCGGCCACAAGTACATGGTGCTGACCACATCGAACCTACCCACCTCGGCTTACCACCCCTCAAAGGACATAGAATAGGAATGGAGGTGATGTGATGTGGGAAGCCTTGTGGACAGCGCATCCTCCAAGACGAGTGGGGAGCACTGATTTTTGTCACTGGGAGTCATTAAACGAGAGATTTTGGGCTTTTCTGAGGATTTACTTGAAAAAAATAATCCGACTCTGAGCTGCTGGACTTGTGTAAAAGTAAAACTGACAAGTGAGGTTAATGTCTAGTTCGAGAAGCCTTTGTTGACGAGTTAACAACTGGTGAGCAGCTCAATGTCGAATGCATGTCCTGCCAATTACCAACTGAGAGTAACATAAAGAACCAGCAGATCAAGTAGAGGTACAGTAGATAAAGGACAGGCATAATGAATATAAATAGATAAAGAACATACAAGTACAGTAGATACAAGTATAGCAGGTATAAATATAGGTACAGACGTTTCAAAACTATAAGGGTACATCAACACTAACCAAAATCAAAGTTGAGCACAAGTTATATCACAGCTTCGCTTCTGTATTTCCAACTTCCGATGTAGAAAATGGAAAACGTCGTATGTCTCACTAACAGGACATGCATCTTATCTCAACAGAAAGCCAACACCTCTAGACCCGCCCCCCCTAGACTGATTCTCTCATGTCCACCGCTGAAACTGTGTGAAGCGGCTTACATTACGATAAACGAAGTGTTATCATAGTGGTTGAAGATATACTAGGTTAGTTTAGGACAGGTTAAATTTGGTATCTTATAAGTCGTTAGTATATTGACATTTTAACGTTATTCTTTGCTTATCCCACAACCTTCTCCCAAAAACACTGAGGGTCGCTACTAGAGGAGGAGGTGAGGGTTGAGTCTGACAGTTCGTTTGGCCGAGTCAGTCCACAACCCGACCTTCACAATTGCTATACTGTATAATTTACTCCTGGTGCAGAAATCCACGTATTGATATGCTATTGTGTACAATTGTTTCATACATGGGAAATTTTCTCCTGTCATTATGGAGATGGTAAAAATATCAATCTATTGTTCACGCATGGTCAAGGACATGGTAGACTGATCTGATCTCCTGTTATGATTTAGTCGTGGGTGCGAGGAGGACGGAAGATAGGTGGTTGGTTCTCGTGTACTTCCTTGTCTTTAATAAATAAATCTTACTGAGACCTCTCTTTTAGATTAAATGTTCTAACCTTGAGTTTAAAAGGTTTTTTGCTTTTTGATAATTAACAATTCTATAACATCACAAATTATCGCTGTAAAGTATCGAAATGACACTCACGAAGGTCGGCTTATCATCAAAATTACACAGCCTAGTTCCAGCGTCTCCAGCGTGACAACTTAAATATCATGGTTTTTCATCATAATTAATATTATGGGTGAAAATGGGTAATACATTAGAACTGACAAATGGAGATTATCCTTAACACAACAATAACATATATCATAGTGATTTTCCACTGTGATATAAAATAGATTTCTTTCCTGAAAAACGTACGTGTGTGTGTGAAGAGAGGGAGCGAGAACTGTGAGAGAGTGTTAGATAAAACGGTGAAGCGAGTGGTCAGTTATCCTATCTACCTCATAATGCCTCAGACTGAGTCCTTCTCCTCCCTCCTTAACCTGCACCCAACTCCTCCACACTTACTTTCCCAACCTCTCCACATTCCTCCTCCACACTTTCCTAACCTCTCCACACTCCTTTTCCCTCAGTCCCCATTCCTTAACTACACTTATTTAAATTTCCTCAAAGCTTTTTTCACCCTCCACTCCCCCATAGTTTTCCTCCTTATTCCTCCAGTCTACAAGTCTCCATTCTTCGTGACTGATAGTACGTTTCGACACCAACTAGCACTCCGACCATTAGTAGTAGTAGTAGTAGTGATAGTTTTATTTTTGTAGGGAATATTCGTATATATTACCGAAGTATTTTTTTTTATTTCAAAATTTCTCCCGTCATATTAACTAGACCTAAACTTGTTAAACCTCTCCCCTCACCCAGTCTCCCTCTCTCCCTTCACTCAATCCCCTCTCCCTCTCTCCCCTCACTCAGTCTCCCTCTCTCCCTTCACTCAATCCCCTCTCCCTCTCTCCCCTCACTCAGCCTCCCTCTCTCCCCTCACCCAGTCTCCCTTTTCCCTCCACCCAATCTCCCTCTCCCCTCCCTAACGTAGTTCTACCTTTCGTATTTTGTTTTATTGCTGTTGGGTTTAAAGACCTTCCTTGTTGAAGATCATTAATAACATTATAACAACAGCCCCTCGCCCCTTCACCTCCCTTGTGGATTCTGATGAGACATATTTCTTTAGCAACGAAAAATGTAATATTTCTAAAGTATTAAAATAACACGTATACAGAAGTACCGATACTAAGACGTCTTCTAAAACATTAACTGCATGAATATTTCTAATTCAACAAGGACAACGATAATTCTAAAAGGACGACATCTAAAGGACCACTGGAATATTTACAATGTAATAACAGTATTGGAACTTTTCTGAAGCACCATTAGGACATAATGCTTCTAAGGGTCCCAACAGTAAAGTATATTTACAGAGGACCAACGATGTTGTATCCTCTGTGTCACTCCCTCAAACAGTCCAACAATTGCCATCTAATTTCGTACGTGACACACACACACACACACACGTTGTTCCTGGTTTAGTAGTTCCACTGTACTTCTTGGCCACTGGCATTTCATTAGATAGGTTTCATGTCATAAATTATTCAGCATTTATTGTCATTAATGATACAGATCTTTATGTGAGTATGGAGGTTAAATTATAGTTGCAAAAATATTTGTAATTTTTATGATGATTTAGTATACATGGGTTAGGTGGGACAGTTCACAAAGTGGGTTAGGTGCAAGAAATACAAATTAGATTTTGTTTGATTTATATTAAGGGAAATAAATTACAGGTAACTTGGAGTGGTACTTACCAGAAACAAGGTCTTTGGTCTTATTCTCATAAGACATGCGGCAGCTTTTCCAAATTCCAGAGTGCGACTGTAAAAAGTAGCGCTTCGTCGTCGCTACGTATATACCTTTTCCGCCATCCACAATTCCCCAGTAGGAGGTAGAAATTGCGATTATCCATAACATTAGTCCTATGGATAGAAATGCAGTGACGGCAATCAACACCCGCCGCTCCACGAGCACGGCGTGGGCCGCCTCCTTGTTGACCATCCTTATTGACACTGATCGTGCGTCCGCCATGAACCTAGTGATGAGCTTTCCCGCTGCCACGCGAGCCTCTTCTGTAGTCGTACAGCATGCAAACTTTGTTCAACAAAATCATTGGGTAAAATGAGAGACTGCAAGGTCAGCTGTACAGTAGGAATAGAGTAAATAAGTTGATACGTGTGCCACAAGCTCGTGTTAGAGGCGACGCTATCTACCGGTCGTCAGAAGAGCAGAGTTTAAAAACGGGTCGACAAGCACTAGAACTCTGTTGGAGTAAAAGTTACAATTTGTTAAGTAGTTAGTTGTAATTAAGCTCTTTAACTTATTTCCTGTAGCTCTATCCTACCTCCATTTTATGCAAAGATTGTTTTGTGGGTTACTTAGCTGAATCCCTCATCAAAAGGCGCTTCATCCAATGAGACAGATTCCATCAGTTTCTAAAAGCCATGGCAACGTTAGGAGGTTAGGTTAGGTCAGGTTTTGACATTTCTCTGCATTCATTATTTGTGTTTGCCATATTTTTACCCCGTTGTTTACCTCTTTTTCACGCCCTGCCCACTAATGATAATTTTAGTAAATGTCGCCTCTTTTAAAATATTTGCTGTAATGATAAGAACATATTGTGAAAAAAAAATCCGTCAAATTTTTCTGGTGGTAGCGGTGTTCTCATGCATTACCGTTGTTGATTCCAGAATATCTTCAAGGATAGTTGATAAAGAGCTTCAATTTTCATTATTGTGTACTTATGTAGTTATATCAGCAATTCAAATACAAAATATGCTTAAACAGCTTTTCTCAGCATTTTTTGTACAGTAATCCCGTAAATGAAGTACGTTTTCTTTGGCACAAGTATTTAAAGAAAATTTTTTGGGGTGTCTATAAATTACAGCGAATGAAATATTTTCAGAGTATTTTGGAAATACAGGAACTTATGTATTGCGCACATCATTGTCATTCCTAAAAACCCATTTTAATTCATATTACGCTACATAACATTCAAATCCACCGCGCTTGTAGAATCTCAGGAGAGACGTGTTTTTCCCATCTGTTTTACCCTCAGGATCACTCCCAGTAAGTCCTGCCTTCGAACACAGTTGTCACTACGTTTATTCCACTCTCTACTGGCAAACACAACCTTGAATTAGTCTGTGTAAATCAACTTTAGTAATTCACCAGACCTTTAGTCAACTGAGGGTCATCCTTGAATGAGTAACAGTTAAATTGTTTGTAATTTGTCATCGCGTGAGTAGCGATCGCTGGCAACTCAGGGGTATATAAACCAGTGCGAGGCGAGAGGAGTAGACCTCCCGTATCACCTTTCACCTTCGTTCTCAGGTATGTTCTGTGTTTGATTCAGTCTATTGTAGTGAATATCAGTATTCACCCATCATCATTACATATAACATCATCCATCATCACTACATATAACACCATCCATCATCACTACATATAACACCATCCATCATCACTACATATAACACCACCCATCATCACTACATATAACACCACCCATCATCACTACATCATCCATCATCACCACATATAACACCATCCATCATCACTACAGATCGGTAAAGTAGCTTCCGAGATTCTCGTGCAGACACACAGACAAACACACACAAACAGACACACTTCTTTGTTTTATATAGATAGATTAGGCAAAGCTTTAAGCTGTATGTAAAACTAAAATACGCCTCTTTAAGTACTCTTACGTAACACCAACTGGCACTGACCTATTCGCATGAGATTCCCGGAGTTACTGAGAGAGAGCCTCCGTGCGGCCGTGCCCCGCGTAGACCTAGGCCTACAGGTACCATTGCTTACAAATCACCATGTCTTTATTCTGGCCCCCACACATACACTTTCTTAGATATTGTGACTTTATGCCTTATAATTACATACCTTAAATTACATACTACAGTGTCTGATTTGTCAGGTTTCTGGTGAATTACTTTACACATCTCATTTCCTCGAAACTGTGTCCCTTAGGAGATTTAGGCGCCATGGCAGACAAAGGCCTTGGTTCTGGGCTTTGGTATATCCACTTCACTTTATTCTCAATATATGGGTCATCCCCCACACTTTGTAATTGCTTACCACTTTCATAAGATTCTCGAATCACTGCACTGTTCGTGGCTATTCGTCACAAGACGTAACGATGTGTATTAAGCTCTCACCGATGTACAGCCGCGGACAAAAGTTCTCTCCCCCGTGATGAAATCGAGTCATGGGAATGAGTCTCCGAACTTACTTACCCTGTCTGCGGTTGTGCTGGTTCATCTCATTTGGGGTCGGCGCTGCTTCATTTTGGGAGGAAGCGAACTTTTGACCCCGACTGTACTATCGTGGACAAAAGTTCGCTCCCTGTGGTGAAACTGAGTCACGGGAATGAGTCTCCGAACTGACTTACCCTGACTGTCATCTGGTGCGGGTGTGCTGTTTTATCTCATTTGGGGTCGATACTGCTTCAGTTTGGGAGGGAGCGAACTTTTGTCCACGATAGTACATAAAATATTTTCCTTGGAGTATAGTTTACGGATCAACCCCCAACACTTCACATATGTCTGACACACTTATCATTTTCCCAGATCATTGTTCTCATATATTTTCATCTGACACCTGGTGTAGCTATGTTTACTAATCATACATAGACGTAAATACCACAACCTTCAGACACGGTCACACTTATGTACAATATTACACTAATACGTAACAATTGGGCCTTCCCAACCACCATATAGGTACTGTACCTTGAGTTCTCCCTTAATACTATCTGTATACATACATAAGATTATATGCACGGACACTGGTATAATTCGTATAAAACAACATGCAGTATATGATTTACCCCTTCCAAATGTTTACCGTTTTCTGTGACACTCCCCACAAGAAAGATATTCCCTTAGCGCGGTGAGTTTGAATGTTATGCAGCTGTAATATGCGTCAGCAGAGATTATAGGGACCAGTACTAATGTGCGCAGTATCTGAACCTGCTCCAGTATTGGAGCGTCTGCCAGCTCCATGTAGACATTCAACTGAGTAATGCCCTTTAAGATGTTTATACACCTCAATTAGGTCACCCCTTGCCCGGCTGTAGTATAAGCTAGGCAGTTGCAGGCACTCTAATGTCCTTGGGTAAATTGAGGTGCCGAAGTACAGGCACCAGTCTGGTGGCCCTCCTTTAGACATTTTCAATCAACTGACAGTCCCTAGCATATCTTGGGGACCAGACGGGGCGACAGTGTGGTCAGTATGGAGTTGTAAGGCTCCACCTGCAAACAACTTTATTATTTCTAACTCGTCTGAATATTTACGTCTTGATGTCAGTAACCCTGTATTGAGGTCTTATAAATTTGGTTCAGTAATGCCACCAGGGTATAGACTTTGCTGTTGAGAAGTTATCCGAAGAGACCCAAGGCGCCCACCTGATCATCGTTCACACCTGCCGGGGTATTAGTTCAGATATGATACCTTTATTCTGCATTATCACAACAAGTATGTAACATTTCATGGTAGATGATTATATTCAAGATTTCTTACGAAGAAATGCAAAACAGGACACAAAAACCATACTCAGTTTTTGTACTTCAAGGTAATATGGTCAATCTCTTGTTTTACCTCAGTGTCTTACTGGAGGGAAATTTATACTTTGTTTTTAAGTTGTCATAAAACACTTGTCATGTGTCATGTTGTTGAGTGTTGGGGTCGTGTTGTGACTGACATTTGTACATTATCGTGTGTGTTTGACGTTTGGATATTGTTGTGACTGACGCCTGTTCATTATTGTGGTGTGTGGGTGGTGTTCATGTAGTGATGTTTTAACTCGCCTGTGGTGCCAGGTAGATGGCGAATTCTAGTTTGGTCATCTTGCCGTAGTGAACTGAGAGGTGTTCCTTTAGTAGCGAGGTGAAGCCGGAGCCAGTGCCACCGCCGAAGGAATGGAACACAAGGAAACCCTGGGAGGCACCGAATGGTTGAGACACGGGCACCCAGATGTAAGGGTGTTTGCAATACAGTAGATCCACGAGTATTTCCTTAACGCAATATATTTTCTTAGTGTATATCAATTTTGACAATAATTATTTGGCATCTTCAGCAAAAGTATACCTCAGTGTACTATTTGTAAGTAATACGAAATGTATATAAATGGCCTAACAGGACTTCCATACAAATCCCATGATAATGACAAGTGTACCTGTATACGTTTCTTTTTGTATTTCACTGTCGTACCTGAAGGCCTGGTCGGTCATCCTCCAGATATGGTATAAAGTGACGTTAATCGTCTCCTTGTGCTTGCAGATGGTGTAGTGGCCGCGGGCGAAGTTATTGGCGTCGTCCTTGCCAATCACCAGTTGCTGTGGGTGGTACTATAGTGCACCAAAGTCGTGTCCACTACCCAGCCATAGTGAGGGTTCGAATTGTCTTGAGTCTGAAGTTTCGAAACAGCTGGGGGAAATACTATGGTCGGCCAACAGATGTCTCCCACTGTAGTGTGTGGGGAGGGGGGAATAGAGGAGGTGGGGGTTAGTCTAGTAACAGGCTGTGTGTAGGTGGAGCATAACATCGTGAATTCCACAATCACTGATAACAATAAGAATGTCATGAAGATAGTTAAAATTATTAAGCATGGTGAGAGATGTGTAACGGGTAAATAAAATCACTACAACGACCTTATCTCTGCCGTTCATGGCTACGACGGTGAGACTGATGGGCACACCAGTAATTAATTCTCCGTGACTACCAGTAATGGTAGTCACGGATAATACACAAGTTGTTACCAAGGTTGGCGCCACCCACACCAGGGGAAGGAGGTGATGTCGAACACTGAAACATGCCGAGGTCTCATTCCTACCATCGTCGTCACCAACAGGTAAGTCACATTAATTTGTCAACATAGCCCATGTCGTCCTTATACTATTGCAGGGTGTCCCATGAGTGACAGCAGATATTTGTAGAGGTGAAAGAATATGTGATATTGAGTTGAAAATCTTCTATACACATAAGCATTTTTCGGTTTACTTTAGGCGTGAGGTGGGTTGTAAAAATTACGCAGGGCAAAAATTTTGCCATGTTATATTTTATTTTTCTTACCAATTGCAGCCATACTGTGTGCTGTTGTAATCCTTATTGGTGGATTACATAAGGCCTATTAATAGCGTGAAAACCCGTTTGAAGATACTGTAATGTTCCATAACTTGCATTAAACGACATCATACGTTCACGAGTTCCAACTCCGCACCTAGCCTCCCCCCCCCCATCCCCGCCTCTACCCACCCAACTATTAAACCTCATAATTTGAGCATCGTGGGTTACCACACCTAAACACTAATCGACTACTTATTCTCTCCCCACACTCCCCCTCCACCATCCCCCCACTCCACTCCTCCCTCCCCCACCTCTTCCCTTCATCCCTCCCCCAAGACTAACGTCAATCGAACATTCCATCCCATCACATTACCTTCCCCTGCATTCCCCAACCCCCCTCCCCCTATTCTACCCATGGCGACGATTTGGACTACTGTAATGAACACTCACAGAACCGACGACATGGCTCCTCCCCCTTGTATTTAGAGTTAAAACCTTTACAACAAAGGTCAATCCCACGTAACTTGAGCCGGATTAAGATATGTGGAAAAAACAAGCAACACCCATGGCCACCCCCCTACCCCAACCTAAAATCATAACCACCACGTCTCTATCTCCATCCGTTTCCCTCTATCTATAATAAAAAGTGTAACCCTACTCAGAAAAAATAATGAATGGGCCCTCCAAACAAATTAAAGATGAGGTGCACCCCACCCAAATAGGGATGGGCCCTCCATTTCCTTTCGCCTTCTTTTCTCCACATCCTTTCCTCCTCCCATCGCCCCAGTCACCCCAACCTACCACCCAATACCATGCAGTGGGCAGAAGGCCACACACTTTCTCTCCTCCTAAAAGTCTGTTCCGTTTAACCCACATTCTTTCACTACTAAACCTTCTTCCCCCTTTCCTATATTTCGCTATCGCTATCGGTATCTCCCGCCTCGACTCTGCCATTAGTAATGGTTGCCTTGCGTAATTTGTAAAATCCACCTCACGGCTAAACGTAAACCGAAAAATCCATATATGTATAGAAGTTTTATACTCAGAATCACATATTCTTTCACCTCTACAAATATCTGCTGTAATTAGTGGGACACCCTATTATAATTATATGACAGTTGTTATATGAGCTCCTTAGTTAACTTCACCATAAAAATATGGTGTTTGACGTGCTATGCATTTGATGGTCATATTTGCCGCACGTTACCTTACTCGGTTATGTTACACCCCCAGTTGCAACCTGGAAGTTTGGGTTGGGTAATGTAGTATTTTGAGCAGAAATGGAATTCAGAACGACTCAATGAACATGAAGAAAAACGTTTTTATATAACGAACCCTAATGTAATGTAACCTATTACAGTTATATGTAATCTGGAACGAACATGTCATAGCTGAAAATTGTCAAAGAAATATGAAAAGCGAGGCTAACTACCTATAAAATATTAATATTTGACGATTGGCAAAAGTCCTGGGAAAATGAACCAACAAGTCATGAGTTAAAATGATCAAATCATCAGTTTATCCTTGGTCATCATCAAAACAATCCTTTCAACATCACGGAACTGTTCTGAATCGTCCTGGGAATTGGGCATGCACTTGATTGGCGCATGGCCAACTCATGTCTTCCCCTAATGGAGCCCACATATATGCTCTAACTGCCGAACACAAATAACAGTCCAACATATTCTCATTGAATACCCTATAAATGTCGATTTATCGAACAATGGCTTCACTAACCCTACAATGTAGATATTTTGCTTAGAGACCCCAAAATTTTCCCTAAATTCAGTTTAACCTTTTTTGAAATACTGTAATCTCACTCCAAACAATATAGCACTAAATTTATAGAAACACAAATATATGTTAACTAATCCCTCTGACCAGCCCTAGGAGACTCAAATGGGTGTCAGTGGTCTGGATAACTAAATCTTGATGATGATTATCGGCGAATGTTCCTCTGCAGTCGCAGGGGTGGTGGTGGAGGTGTGGGTGGTGGGGGGTAGACGAGGATCCACTTGTAGTTCACTATGAATACATGAAATAGGAAGGGTTTCTTGGGCAGTTGATCCAAAAAGATTACCAAAACGTTATGTCAGAGTAATAATACTTAACCTAGGTGTTACTAATACCATTAATTTACTCTAGTATATAAAAGCCTGCATCAGTTACCACAACATGATATTATTCTGCCATTTCAGATATGCCTGCAGGACAAGCAAATTCGTTGGCAGTGATTGCTGAGCGATGCCAAATCATCGGGATGTGGAGAGCCGGGGCAACTGTGCCGAACATTGCTCTCGAAGTGGGGAGGAGCAACAAGACGATTAGGAGGTGGATCCACCTGTGGGAGGAAGAGGGCTCAGTGGAGACGAAACCTCGAAGTGGGAGGCCACGAGTAACGTTTGCAAGGATGGACGCCATGATCGTGGCAGCTGCAACGGCATATCCAATGCGAACATCAGTGGAGTATACAAGAAATCTGGGCCTCAACTGCCATCACATGACGACAAGACTCCGACTTCATGAAGCCGGGATTGACTGCCATTATTCCAGCTCACAAAGGGTGGCTAACACCTACTCACAAGGAGTGTCGACTCGGCTTTGCACTGGAACACCTTCCACATAGAGAAGAATACTGGAGAACCATTATATTTACCGATGAAACGATGTTCAGGTCAGTGGGAGCCGAAGCAAGGCAGTGCTGGCGACCCCCCAACACACATGAGAAACACATTCAACATCGCGCAGTGAGTGGTAGGGTGTCAGTGTCATTCTGGGGGTGGATGTGGGCACATGGGCCAGGTGAACTGCTCAAGATCAATGGCCATTTCACTGGTGAGCAGTATGTAGACATCCTGGAGCAAGTGCTAATTCCTACAGTCCGAGCTATGGCAGTTCTAGCCCCCCACACTATCAGGCTGGTTCATGACAACAGTCCCATTCATACCAGCAACATAGTAAAGGACTACCTCCAGGATCACCCTGAAATTGAGGTCATCGACTGGCCAATGCTATGATGTGATATTAATCCGATTGAACATATTTGGACCATGATGAAACGTGATTGGGATATTGGGGAGCAGCGAACCTGTGCAGCAATAGAGGCCAAAGCTTACGACATGTGGGAGAGTATCGTCGACGACTAGGGGTGTGCCTGAAGCTGGTCGACTCCATCCCTAATCGCCTTGATGAAGTCCTGAATGCAATGGGTGGCTGGACCTAATGCTAAGATGTGTGTATTGGTGTATTTTTTGGATTTTAGTATTGTTTGTAAATACAATTAATATATATTAACTCACCTACAGTGTTATCTTAAATCCATGTCCTTAATGATGTCATAAACTATATCGCATGAAAATTCATAACAAAGTAACCTAACAGCCACAAATTATGTATTGTGTGGTATACAATGATCTGTATAACACGTCGTGGAATGTGTTGTCTTATAACACAATATAATTGTATAGTTATAATTGCTACCATCATTGAAATGCTCATGATGTTCAGCACACAATATTAACGGTAACTGAGCACACTCCAAAATATATGAAGCTTGCATATTGTGGTGGGGTGTTTAAACACTGGAACTTGGAAGAATTGGGACACTATGGGACAGTCACCTAGAGTAAGTCTGAATACTACACCTTTTTTCAATTGCAATTGAACAATGTTACTTTTGGTTTCAACATCTTCGAATGGAATCGACATTCTTACACTTGATTAATAACAATCTTTACTTTCCGTTCAACAATCATCCAAAACTTTTCAACAGTCGTTCAACACGTGACAATGTTTACTTGCTTTCAACAATCGTCTCATTCTTCATTGACAATTCACTAATACTTTCAACATTTTACAAAACTAAGTAACAATCTTTAAAACATCATAACTATGCAAAAAGTTTATGTTTTGGTGTTTTTCGTAGATCGAAAGACTAGTTGATCTAATTCGAACTTTTGAAGCAAGTAACGAATCACCGAGTCGAGATGGTGTGCTACACACTCAGTATTTTCATTACGAGTGTGCAGCTTCTCCCGTATACAGTTCGTCGCCGAGCCCCTCCAGCATGCCACGGAGGCACCGAATAACGTGCTACAGATCGCGGGCGCATTATCGAGGCCTACAGAGCCGAACAAGATTTCCTCGTAGTTGCAGCAGCCCTTGGAGTTCAGCGCACCACGGCATACTCCATTGTGCGAGTATACCAACGCGAAAACAGGGTTGAAGCGGCTCACGCAGGAGGCAGACACAAGATCATAGACAATGAAACTCTGGATCTAATAGTGATGCTGCTTGAAGCAAACCCTATGATGACCTTGAGAGAGATAAAGGAGGAGGTCATGGATATATTTCCTACAAAACCACATTTCAGTGAGGTAACGCTTTCGCATTATTTGGAGGGGGAGCTGATATCACTGAAAATGTCCCGTGACTCCCCAGCAGAAAGAAATTCTCCCGCAGTAAAGGAGGCGAGACACGCGTACGCTACGTGGATGCTGGCGACGGGTCTACAACAGCAACTAGTATATATTGATGAGACGTATGTAATTAAGTAACCACTTATCAACTATCTGTAGTATGTACTACATAATTACTTAAGTAAACTGTATGTAACGAGTGAGTACTTAATATTGATCTCAGTTTGATGCATCGTACAACTTTCCTTGTGTTAATATTTAATTACATTACAGTATGACTACATACACTGATGTTTCATTTCCAGGGTTCAATCTGTGGACCAAGAGGAGGTACGGCAGGGCAAGACGCGGGGAGCGTGTGCATCGCGCCGTTGGTGGACAGCGTGGCAGAAACACGACAGTGATTGCTGCGATAGCTGAACACTGTGGAATACTCTATCACGAAATTCACTATGGTTCAGTGACGAAGGAAGTATTCAGTGATTTCATCGCATCACTTGCAGCAATAATCGGAGACACAAGGTCCATACTTGTTCTAGACAACGCTCCAATTCACAACGGTATCGCAGCAGTCTATCCCGAGCTGAATTTTAAATTTCTCCCTCCATACTCTCCTTGCTTGAACCCCATAGAAAGCTGTTTATCTGTGTTTAAATCATACCTGAAGCAGTACCTCCACCGTGAAGCTCCACGGTGCAACGCGGCCCACGCCAGGCAAGAAGGAGTGACTCTCAATGCACTGAGGGAGAACATTTTGCAAGTTGGCGTGGAATTTGCACTGCCTAGTGTCACGGAACATGTTGTGTCGCAGAACTATAACCATGTCAACACCTACTTGGTTCAATGTATTGAGCGCCGAGACATCTTCAATTGATATACAGTTGGTCTACAGTAATATAATATAACCTACTGCCTTACCGTTTGTTCCACTTGAAACAATTCACAACAAAAACCTTCTATACACTCATGGGTTCTTTTTTACCTGACAGGTTACTATTCGTGAGGCAGAGGAGGAAGGCAAGTCAACGGGATGCTGATATGACACTCCTCTCCCCAATCCCACTACCCCTCCCACCCTCACTTACCTTCATCCCTACCTTACAGCCAGGCAGAAACAACCCACCAAGGTGTACGAGGCCTTTACTGTGAATTGCTTCGTCGAAGTATCATGACACCAATGTATTTAGCTATTAGTATAAGGCCCTTTTTTCTTTGTTTCTTTTTAAGCAATCGTATGTTTTATGTAGCTACTACATACTAAAGACTAAAGGCATTACATAATTACATATGTTTATACCAGAATTCATTGTGTTGTTGATGTTTGTGTAAGTATACTCAAAAATTAAATATTCATGGCTGTTACTGATTTTAAAGATTGTTGAATAAATTCTTTTCAATGATGATTGTTTCAGTCGCATTGTTGAAAAGTTTGGTTGACTGTTGAAAGCAATCTGAGATATGTGGCTGTTGAAAGGTTTTGTAAATTGTCAAATCAAAATAACTGATTGTTGAATGGATTCGGAAAATAGTTGAAAGCAAATAGAAATTTGTCATTCCAAAATTTTGATTGTTAAAGGCAAGTGGTCAATTGTTCAATTGCAAATGAAAGAAGGTGTATTTAACAATACTGATAACTTTTTCACTCCACTCTTTTTAACATAAGTATATAGTTATATAATATTGCATATTATCACAAATATTTATTAAGCAAAGGATGGGTGGAATATAAATAAATATTACCCTAATCTCTTTGTCGGAATAACAACAAAATTGTGACGTAGTCGCTGAGTAAAACTAGCTGATCCTTGCATATTTCACTTTTATCCTTAATATATTTCATTCTTTAAAGTATCATTGTGACCTGAGCAGCAATAAGCACCCAGGACACTGCACCTGTTCCATGAATTCGTAACCATAAATAAACAACTAAGACAAAACGTAGTTAAAAAGGCAGCTTGAAATTATGGTGGTATAAATAATAAATAAACCTGCCTCTCATCCAGCCCCCACCTCCTCTACTCCACCCACCCCCCCCACACACACACACTACAGTGGGCGACATCTGTTGGCCGACCATAGCATTTCCCCCCAGCTGTTTCGAAACTTCAGACTCAAGGCTATTCGAATCCTCACTGTGGATGGGTAGTGGACACGACTTTTGTGCACGATAGTACTATAACGGGTTATTTTAGTGTGACCGACATCCACAGGGAAATGGTGGGCACGGCGGGCAAGAAAGATTGTCAACTAAACGAGGAGAGTTAATAAGATGAAATGCCTTTGATTCCACCCTATCTAAAAGTTGGACAGAAGAAGAGCCACCCCAGATATGAGAACAGTACTCCAAGTTAGGACGAATGAATCCTTTATATACCTGAAGCAACTGCTCAGGAGTAAAGTAGCTACTTTATTTGTACAGCATTCCCAGCTCTCGGGAGGAAGTTTTAGCAATGTTGAGGATGTGTGGGTTCCATGACATATTAGAGCGTGTTACCCCTGCTGAAAATTGTGCAGGTTCCTGATTGGTCGCTGTCGTCAATAAAATCGAAGACGATTGGTTAGCATATAACAGTAGTGTGACATTTACTTTTGATTAGGCTAATACATGATGCATTTTTAAAAGCACACACCTGCATGTCAACCAGATTTTTACATGATAACGTACTTAAAAATATTATGAGCTTTTTTTTTTATTTACAGAGATTTTATTTGCAGGAAAAATTCTCAGATAACGTGGTTAATTATTAATATTTTTTTTAACTTCATTTCACAAAGAAAGAGTAAGGACAAGAGTTTGTTCCATTATTGTATAACGTCTATATTGTTACGTGTTTTGATTTCTTGTAAATTTTTTCTATTTTAATGCGTAATGATGGAGTTAATCTTTTCGGAAACTGTCGTACATATGCCATGATTTTGCACAAAGTGCTGGTTTTCTATTAATTTTACACACTGGTATATATAAACTGATCGTTGTGAAATTATTCAGTTAAAGATAAGCTACCAGCAGGATATGCGATTAATGTTTTATCACTCTAACCGCCATCCGGGCGGTTAAAGGAGTATTCAGACTTGTCACGTTAAACTCGAACGTTATAATTCGGTCAAACCTGTTGAATACATTTTATTTTAGTATGTCAAATAAATCATACATAGGCAATCATACATAAATGTTTAATCCAATATATATTTACATAACAATCATAGCTATGTAATTAGTCTAATCTTAACACTTACAATGAGTATTTAATTTGTCATATTTTTATATCGTCACAATGATAAACGATGCAATGGACACACTATACCTGTGTACACAATAAGAACAAGTTAAACTTATGTGTTGAAAGTCTTCAGGAGAAACAGGTTAGGTGTTGGCACTATGATGGGGATAGCTACAGTGAGGAAGCGGTGCCCTGCCGGGCATCATGTGCCCAGGCCGGCTATTCAAACTCGCTGCTGTCAGGCGTGTTATACGCAAACAGGCTCCCCTTACACCACCCAACATCTCAACATACTCTGGGTCACTCATCTGCCTCCATCTTAACACTATATATATACTGTATACAGGCAGGCACACCCAATAAACATGACATGACTTACAGCCTAACATAATGTTTGTTTATGTGTCTTCATACTCAGTACCGCTTGCGGTAAGAATCACAAATATATTATCAGGTCAATTTGAAGTGTACTGTATATTGTACAGATAGGTATCACAACACTATCACAGGAGTAATACTTTCTCTCTTTCCCGATTCAAGTGTTAATGGTAATATTTGTTTGATTTGATTTCATGTCTTTGTGAAATGAGAATCAAAGATGTTCTTTGACTGTTTTTGCTTTTTAGATACAATACAAAATTATCATGATTATTTTATATTATATCCGGATATTGTCACAAGTATCCGGAAGACTTTAAGGCTTCAATTATACAAAGCATGTGTACACGGTGCTATATCGGTACTCTAAAGGGTATAAGCAAAGCAAATGTCGATGTATATTCCAAGTTTGAAGTTGTTACTACCTGAAAAAAGAAGTTGGTTTAATGAGACCAGGTACTAATACGGGGTAATAAGCTCGGACACCCAGACATCAACATATTTACTAAATTTAAGGGTGGTAGATTTACAGTAGAAGGTGTGGTAAACTTTTTTTTTTATTGGATTAGCCCACCAGGGCACAGGTCAATGACCCACATCAGGGCCTAGGAGCGAAAATATAATAATAATAATAATAATAATAATAATAATAATAATAATAATAATAATAATAATAAAAATAAAAATAAAAATGATAATTAATAATAATAATAATAATAATAATAATAATAATAATAATAATGATAATAATGATAATAATATTAATAATAATAACAATAATAATAATAATAATAATAATAATTATAATAATAATAATAAAGGACCATAAGTAATTACAAAACATTAATTATAAGATCAATAGTGAGAAACAATATATGTATGTAGTGTTGCCAAGTAAGAGAAGCAACTGAAACCCTGCAGTTGTGTGTAAATGAGGCAGAAAGTCAGATCAGCAACCTGGAACTTGGTCACAATACTGTACTTGTGATGCCATATGGCAGCAGGGTCTACCATTAGACAACACATTATGCTTCCAATATCTTCCCAGGCGGTAGTACCTCCCTGTTTGATAGCTGCCTACTGCCTACTATCTACTACCCTGTCTGTACAGTACATTGTTTTCTTCACAAAAACGACACTACATTAAATTAGAAGCAAACATTAGCACTGAATTAAGGGGCCTCTCGTTAGTGATTTTAACCTGCCATCTTGCAAAAATTTACCACTTTTATTCAGAACGTAAATTTGGGAAGTGAAAGACACGGAAGAAACTACATTTGCTGGGATATCACGGAGTGAAAGCCAAAGCTGAAGCTCCTCATGGGTTCCCTTAAATAATAAATTATATCTTTTAACATTACTCCAACTATTATTGACAGGCGTTTTTTTTTTAATTATTAAAACAGCTACAGTCCTTTTATGCCTAAATCATATTTTAGTTATAAACTTTATTATTTTATTTAGTTTTCTTATTGAAGATCTTGTTAAGAAGCTCAATGGCAAAGATGAAAAAAGATAAAGAAAGGCCCAGGAGGAGAAGTATTAAAGGTCCTTGCATGTGGACGAGTTTCAGTGCCTGATTCTTCTTGTCGTCATCGACCTGTGCGGTGGTCACCTTCTGGCCTTGCTTCTGGTGTTCCTGTAGTCTCCTACGAGTTTCTTGCTTAGTTCTAAGAATCACGTCTTCTATCCACTTTTCGTACAGTCCAGCCTAGAACAGACAACTTTGGAAATAATTTGAATTATTTTCTGACAAATTAACATAATAATAATAATAATAATAATAATAATAATAATAATAATAATAATAATAATAATAATAATAATAGTAATAATAATAATAATAATAATAATAATAATAATAATAATAATAATAATAATAATAATAGTAATAATAATAATAATAATAATAATAATAATAATAATAATAATAATAATAATAATAATAATAATAAAAATAATAATAATAATAATAATAATAATAATAATAATAATAATAATAAATTATTTCTAAAGTTTTCTTTGTCAATTCTTTGACTGTATACAGTGAGTTCCCACAACCTATTCCTTTGAGCCCCAGTCGGACATGAAGACTAAATTGGATATAAAATTATTCATACAGTAGATGAATAAGCTCCCATTAATGAGCACGAACACCTTAGTTGTAGTTCAAACGGCTTCAAAGTTTAACCAGGGTGTTTTCCAGGTTCCTTGGGTCATCAACACTCGATCTCGAAAGGGGTAAAACAAATCCCTTAGGGTTCCCTGTGGTTCCACCCTGGTGCCCCAGGAGGCCCCGAGAGAAAGAAACAGTCATAAAGTTCTTATTGTTTGTCCGATTTGGACATGTGACCCTCTATGAATAGGTCTTAGAAGGACGGATGTAATATTAATAAAAGATTTTTCAAACATGGCTGCCGTGTTGACGTTTTAGACGAATTTCTGTTTGGGATGTGCCATTTTCCAATGATTTTCCTTGAAAAACTGTCTTGATCAGAGTAATAAGCGACTGAACTAAACTTTGAAGAGTACTGGAGGAGTGATTGTAATGATCCACGAACCACCGTCTGTCGTAAAATGACCCATTTCTGGATCATTGGTAAACCAGTTGTTCCAGGACTTCGGGGGAAATTACAGACACAAAAAATTCTACTTCTTTCATCATGATGATGGACACAAGTGAAAGACCGACTTCCTCACTTATGTCCAAAGTCTTGTTGACGCCATTCGAAGCCGAGGAGCTCCTTTCCTACAAGATGGAGAAGATCTCGTGAGCTAGCATGGAAAAATCGTCTTCAGCCAAATGTATAGTATCTCAAAAAAATATCTGTCCACATTCTGTGTGAAACATTATGATACCACTGTCAGAACGAGTAGCAACAGTGAAACTTCTTTGGTTTGGTCGTGGTCCATTTGGGTGTAGTTAGTGTTTCGGGTTAGGTTCGTGTTGGTCGCTGAGTTTAGTTGAGAGGTGTGTGAGGGCTGCTGCCACGAGTCATGCAGGGAGAGTGTTCCCGCTGTATGGCAACGTTACTAAAGAGGTATGTCTCCAGTGTGGTATTTAAGTTGTGGACATAGTATTATTTCGAATCAAATGGTGTTTGTTGCTAGGTATTAAGTTGGGTTGACTGGTTTTTGCAGTTAACGAGTGCTGGAGCAGAGGTGGCCGTTCTGGAGACCGGTATCGTGGGCTGGCTGGGAGCTGTCTCTCGTCGTGTTGTGTCAACGGTATACACTCAGTGTCATTCCAACAATTGTTAATCAATTAAGCAGTTACTAATGACGTTTAAGAGTGAAAAGAGCGGATACAATACGTCAGTCTGTGAGCTAAGATTCCTACTTGTGCAAATAGAACAGCTCCAATTAACGAAGGAACGAAGTGGAAGTTCAGGTCTCATTGTCGGGTAAAAATTACTTGTTTGAGTGCATAATTTTTATTATTATATACATGTATTTTGTAATTGTTTTATAGTAAATTAATGTTTAATTTCTTTGGTTGTATCTAGTGTGTGTCAGACACTCAATAACATCCTCACATTCACGGATGATACATATTGGGACATGCATTTACTTTGGTATATAGTTTAACAAAAGTAATCTAATGTGCATTTATTTCGGTGTTAATAATATGATGTTCGGTTACCAAGTGTATTAGAATAAGTATACCACAGAGCTACGCATACCAATCCTCCCGGGACTTAACGAGTTGCATGTAGCTTTTGAGAATCATCTGATCATCCTGGCAGATACTCTTTTGAAATAATGTACATTGCAACAAGTACGCACGTAAGTGATTTCGACTAATTCTTCTCCCATGAGGTTCATGGTTTTCCCACGTCCATGGCTGAGAGTGAAGAAGTAATGAATCTTTAGAAAAAGTCGGATACCATTGACTGTCTCGAGAAGGAGAACTGCGAATCGTAGGATTATTTAAAAATTTCAGTGAACCAGTCCACGGCCTATGATTAGCTTCTTGATGATGATAGAGTACTCATCCACATATTGGTTCCTCTCGGTGGAGTTTAAACCTTCGAAGACTACAAAGAATTGTGTTTCAAGAATCATAATAAAACTAAGCTAAGGAAGGTCTCCAGTCTGCATATTGTTTGGGACACGTATAGAGAAGAATACATCAAAGATGGTATCAGGTCATCACGGGGAACAGGGGTGCGTCTCAAAGTTGGCCCGAAAGTGAAAATAGTCATAAAGTGGTCCGGATTCCAGCGAGACAGCTCTGCCAATACCTTGGAGGAGAGTCCATCGAGATCCAATCGTCTCTGGGTGATCTCTACATCCCCAACCCGGATGGAAAAACAGTCAAGCATTGGGGACTAGGCTAAGACATGGAAGGACAGTTCTACCAAGAGGAAGCAAACACACGACTCGCACTGCACGTCCTCCGTGTTCTGAGGACTTGTGTGTGTGTATGTGAGCGTGTGTGAGGTGTGTCTGTGTGTGTGTGTGTGTGTGTGCGTACACAGGGTAGTGTAATGCATCTAGTGTAGCACCATTATGTTAGTGTTAAGGTGCAAGCACTGCTTGCTTCTTCTCGCTTTCAACTACTGCCGCTGGCTAGCCCTCGTGACGAACAGGGAAGCAACTTGCATAAGTCTTCCCAAACCAGTACACAGCCTCTTCACCATTAAGACTACTGCTGTGCCTCCTCGTGGCAACACGTGGTAACTGTGTGCCTCGTGAGGCCAAGCTAGACCAGCAGAGGGATTTTGGAGTAGCAGTGGGCCCCAGAGGGATGGCGAATAGGCCCACTGGCATGTGGACACGTCCTGGTGCCTCCCAACCACTACCCTGTTGCCTTTCGGATTTACCTTGGTAGGTAAAACGCTACGGAAGTAAACCCAAAATGAAAAAATCTGCGGTGGAGCCCCGCATCAGGCAGACTTGATTACTGAGCTCCAACAAGACCCCAACGGCGGTATAGGCGGAATAGGTGACCAACATGGGAACCCAACGACTACACCTGCAGAAGAAGGCAATGCATGATGGACAGGCTACTAAGGCGAAACCCAACAAACTGGGCTATCGGCAGTCCATTGCAACTCTCCCTCTCCACAGTCGCTGCAACACTTGCACCACTGGATCAGGAAAAGTGAGAACCAAGATGTGTGGTAGCAGTCTGCGCTCTTGCCTCTCCACATAAATCAACTCACGCGCAGCCATCAACTAGCTCATCAAATTCCTCATCATCATCAAACCCTTGTACCCAAAATGACCTATGGTGACTGACGAATGACGATGGGGACAGGCAGAGATGAATGCCGACAGTCTCTTGTCACAACTCTGCACATGGGTGGGTGTAACTGTTTCTGGTTACCTGAGCTTGGCTGATGAGAGGTAACTTAGTAGCTACATTTAAAATGTTTGTTTGTTAAGTCTACAAATCCCAGCCTGTGCAGACAACTATAGTAAGACCCAGTTATCAGCACAGTGGCATCTATTTTTTTTACTATCGGACTTTGTCATTTTTTTGGATAAAACATCTGGTCCTACCACCCGATCCGTCTGGGCAAAGTTTTTCAAGTTTGCGCATGTGCAATGTGATAGTGTGACGTAGCAGTGACGTCATTACCACTCCACCTGACTGCAGTGTTGCCAACGTTCCCTATGCCCGCCGTTGAACGCTCCCGTTCGTTGGAAACGGGGGCAGTAGGTGACAGAGATGCTGACGACTTTGTTCTTGAAGACAAGTCAAAGAAGCAGAAACCTCAGAAGTCAGGGTCTCCAGCAGGGGCCACGGCTCCCCCTCGCACCCCGTCTGGGGCTGTAGAGGGTGGCCTCCTCCTGTCATCGGGGTCCCCAAGTGATCTTACATATGGCTCAATGACCGACCCTCGCGCCTTCATCGTCTCGCCTTTCCTCGGGACTTGCCTCTGAGCACATGGACGACCTGGTTCTTCCGCCACTGCTCTCCACTTCAGGACTCAACACTTCGCCTCCGCCGCGGTCCTACAGCCGTAATAGTCATCACACAAATGGACGAGACGGTACGCCTGCTCACTCAGGTGGGCCTTCCTGCTCCCCAGGAGAAGGTGATGCTGAAGTTCACCATCATCACCCCGGAAACTCGTCGTACCAAGGTAATGGTTCGCCACGTAACCTGGGAGATCCCTATCGACGATCTTCGCCCTCTTCTCCCACAACTACTGGACATGGAACGCCGCATCAACCCGGTCTTCAAACGTCCATCCAACGAACTCATCGGCTGGTGGGTGGGCCCCCTCCCTCCGAAGGTGAATGTAGGACCAATTCACAATTGTCCTCTCGACCGATTTATCGGAACCCTGAAAATCTTTGGTCTTTGCCAATCGTGGAAACACCGCACCTGGGAGTGCACGACGATGGTCGCCTGCGGTTTCTGTGCAGGTCCTCACGACACAGTGGAATGCAAATCGAAAATTGAGAACAAAATCCCAGTTATTCCACGGTGTGTCAATTGCCATGGCAGTCACCACGCCTGGAATGCCAATTGCCCACAGCGTCGTGGCACTCGCCCGGGGAAAGCTTACCTTGTACACACGAGGGCGGTGGTACAAGGTACAAGGTAAGTTTTCCTCACCAAACCTCACTCCTATCCACCACCGCCTCTTCCATCCACCAAGGATTTCCCATTGATCTCCTCTCCTCTACCATCCCCCCTATCACCCCTACTACCCATCCTTTCACCCTCCCTCTCCCTACCGTTCTTGGAACAAG